CTGAGCGTGGAAGTTCGTTATAAACGGAAAGTGAATAAACAACTAACCTAAAAAGTGATCGTTATATCCGGAAGTTCGTTATAAACGGGTTGGTTATAACCAGTAAAAAAACGTTGGTCCTTATGGACGACGGTTCAATTAAAGGAAAAAAGTTCGTTTTAACCGAAAGATCACTATAACCGGGTTCATTATAAGCGGACTTTACTGTATATATTTGGATAAAGCGACTGAAAAAAATCAATCAACAGCCCTTGTTCAGTTCTTTAAGAACACTAATATTAGTGAAAATGTTTTAATTTAAAATCTGCAAAACTAAAACCCCCCAAAAACGCACACCAAACACTAGCATTTAACAACTATTGAATTAAATTAGAAAAAAAAACGAAATGGCACAGCACTTAGTGTTTCTTTGGAAAGTCGATAATAATCTGTTTGCAGTCGTTTTCCATCTGTGTCAAGCACTCACTTGGCATCTTCGATGGTTATTTATTGCTCATAAATAAAACTGTGCGTTTTTTGCGCCGGCACCATTTAAAGAAAGAGGCGATAAATCGATATCCGATTCGCATCCCTTCGCCACTAATTTATTCAAAACCCTCGAGAGTCACGTCAAATTTATTCCTTTTACGACTGCAAGATAAGGGCGGAGGCGCAAAGATGAATTCACCCTTCTTATCGCTTTCGACTTTGATTTTCTACTTCCGAATTATGAATAATAAATTACCGTGTGCGCCTTTATTGCATATTAAACAGCGCTAGTCTCCATATCTAACGCCTCCCCCCTTTATTGTTTCATGAAGTTTACATAAGTTTAATTGGTTGATTTGATGGGCATGCAAGCGTGTCTTTTATGAACGATTTTTCTTTTTCTTATTAATCGTGGATAGGCACGCCCGGACAAAATGCGGTGAGAAGCCAATTTGGCTGTCAGACGAAAAATATATTTGCTTTTATCCCGCAACAGGAAAAGGCTGCTCCGAATTACACGAACTTCCATTTAAATCCAATTTGAACTTTAATGTGCGAGCCTTGGAAATTAATTTATAATCTCCTCGCCCATAAATCCTGTACAAGGCCCTTATTCTCTTTTGATATGGATTTTTTCTTATTGCAGGAAATTAATTCCCAGCTGGAATTTATGGCAATCAGAAATGACTGTGCAGGATCAATATTTAGACATCAATCCCCCCCGGCAGGAAAAAAAATATAAATCCGCGTGACTGCCGCGAAAACTTTAGTCACGCGCCAATAAAAGATCGAGTTTTATTCATGTGTTTCTCATGGGCGAACTTTCCGCTAATTTTAACTTCATTGGAACAAGTATTTGTTATTTTATGCGGAAAATAAATAAACCATCGCGCTATAATGCCATTAGAATAACTTTCCCGGCTGTGAAAATGAATGATATAACAAAACATATTAATTATGACACGAACAGTATAAGCTTGCGAATCAATTGCGATATAAATTGCTGAACATTTTGACTTTTATGCATTAAAAAGTCAGGAAACGAGACTGTTGGGTGTGTAAAAATCCACAAGTGCGTTTTTTTGGTGACTAATTGGACCATTGGTGACAACCCGGGATCTGTTAGAGCCTAGATATTATTAATTTTTTACAAACTTCTTTTTGGGTATTTCGCCTCAAAAATTTTTGTCTTTAAAAAAGACAGAATTTCCTCACGTCTTTTATTACAGATTG